GCTTACGACAAAAATCAACTATCTACGGTCCAGTGCAGGGACGTAACGTCTGAGACTCCCATATACCACAAACCTTACTGAATGCGGATTAAGTAGCCTTCCGCGGTTCAGGTATCAGGTGCGGGGCTTTCCATTGGCAGGCCTTGTTTTGGAGTTTAATTACCCATAACATCAAAATGGCCCAACAGCCTTATAGAAAAGGTCTTTGGGCCCAAAAGCCATAAACAATCTGAGTCCTTCGAGGCTAAGGTTAGGGTTGAGGTCCCAGCCGTACCCCAACCATGGATCTAGTTGCTCAGTGCCCTGATAACCCCAGCATGCAATCTTTGGAGGTCAAGGTAATCCTGACCGAATTTTCAAGGGGATTTAGGGATGATTTAGGGGCTTGGGATTTAGGGTTTAGGGTTTAGGATTTAGGGGCTTGGGATTTAGGGTTTGGGGGTTTAGAGTTTTACTTTTGACCCTGAACCCGAAGTCGCCATAGGCCAGCTCCAACTCAAGAGACTCCTCCGGCGTCACCGCGCTGCCTGCTACAGCTGCTTCCGCCTCACTGCACCGCCGAAATCGGGGAGCTGTTGAATTTGGGGTTACCGACCACTGAAGCCCAAGTATTACAAGAACCTACGTTTTGGCTGCTTGGTGTGCTAGGAAGTTTAGGAACGAATCTCATGTTAGGGGCATGATGCTCTTGCAAAATATTGAATATTGCCAATGTCATGTATAAACATTCGTGGCTTCTCCCGAAAAGAAGGAGGTCAAAATCCTAGACATTCTGGACTTCAAAGACCAGCCCAAATAATTGAACTCTACGACACATCCGACAAAAGCCCTCATCCTGCTGAAACTCCACAGCCCGAAAAGGCCAAAAGCCAATCCTCTTGGGGTGTAGGGTTTAGGGTTGAGATGTAGGGTTTAAGGTTTACGGTTTAGGGTTTCCCCCTAGAGCCCTAAACCCCTAAAGTTGCCCTAAAGCCCATAGAGGCCCTAGAGCCCTGATGTAGGGGCCCTAATAATTAGAATTGGGTTACATACTGTAGTTATTATACTACGGAACCCTAAGGAACAACGAAGGTAATTGTTTAGGCTTCCCCTAAACCCTAAACCCTAAACCCTAAACCCTAAACCCAAAACCCAAAACCCTAAACCCCAGCTTGTTTCCCAAGACGCCGTGGCAGCGTTTGCTTTCTCAGCCGCCATCTTGGCGTCCGCACGAGCCTCCGCCAGCTCCTGGCAGTGCCCACAGAGCCGAGCACCCCTTAACTCAGGAATCCTAGGGGACATATAATATAACCCAGTGGGTCCATATACACTGCGATTATGGAATTACGCCCCAAAGGACCCCAAAGGACCATCCTTGTTTTGGTTTCTGGGCCCTGAATCCATCATAGTCGTATATATGGACCCTCTGGGTTAAGGGTCTTCTGCGGCAGTATACGTTTCAGAATAAGGGCTCTGTCATCCCTGAATTAGGGAATATATAGCTTAACTGGTCCGGTACAGATCTTCTTATTGTAATTCCATGTACACATTTTAATCAAGGGGATAGTGGGCTCTCTTTGTAGTTCAATAAGGGTTAGGGTGTAGCCCTGTGCGGTTTCGGGTCGGAAGGCTTCGAGGGCTTCAGGATGAGAATTGCAAGCTTTGGATCTGGGCTGCATGTGGTTTAGGGTTTAGGGTTTACGGTTGTGTCAATTAGATTCCCTTTTAGGGTCCTTTTTATAGGGGTGCCGTACTAGTTTGGTGATCTACACCGGGACCCCATGAAGTACGGTATAACTATGATGCAAGTAGACGTGCTTGACATCATGCTATTCGGGGTTCAGGGCGCAGAGTTTAAGCCATGGTGCTTTTGCTTCCAATCAGGGCCCCGGATCTACCGGCTTGTTGCAGGTAGGGTTTAGGGTTTAGGGTTTAGGGTTGCAGGTATAGTTCTAATGAGCCCCAAACCCGATTCTTGTTATTGAGGCCCCTACATTAGATTCTACTGTTAGGGGCCTCAACAGAATCGGGTTTAGGGCTCCTTTGTAGTATAACTACACTACGGAACCCCAGGCAATAATATCTGTAATTATTTAGGCCCCTATCTCAAGGGTCATCAGAGGCGTGTGTGTGTGTGTGGGGGTGGGTAAGTGTGTATGCCTGTTCATGTTACCCTAAACCCTCAACCCGAAAGCCTAAACCCTAAACCCTAAACCCTAAACCCCTAAACCCTAAACCCTAAACCCTAAACCCTAAACCCGAAAGCCTAAAGCCTAAAGCCTAAAGCCTAAACAATTGAAACCTGGAAGCTGCTGGGTAAGGTCCGAATGCTTCTTTTCGACAGCTTCATAAATTGAAACAAGAGTCTGTAGACCAAGCTTTTTGGCGCAAGTGGTACACCTGAAGCTCACATTCCTGAAAACTCTACGCCTTACAAGCCCTAAAGCCTAAGATCGAAGTTCCCCCACACTCATGTCCCAAAGGCCAACAACCCTAAACCCTAAACCCTGAACCCCTAAACCCTATACCCCTAAACCCCAACAAAAGGTTGCAGCAGTCCTTCTTGGCCTCCACTTCGTGCTGGCGCGCCTCCTCGACCATCTTCTTCATCTTCAGGCAAGTGGTTTAGGGTTTAGGGTTTAGGGTTTAGGGTTTAACTCAAACCCCCTGCAATACTTCTGCTCAGAGTATGAACACCCTGATTACTACAACTCGCATTATTCTAACATTACGATTACGATTGCTAGTATTGTCTTTAGTATGATTACTATGAATATTTTTGCTCCTATGATTATGATACTTAATGCCATTTATGGTATTATGTTTATTCCAAGGGTGGAGTTGGGTTTCCAAAGCAGCCACTTTCAAGCGCTGGTGATCAGGGGGTGGGGTTTGCACTTTCGGGGGGGTGTCTGGCTAGGGCTCCAGTTACCTAAAAAAGGGGTTACTGGGCTATCTTCCATATTATGTAGTTAGAGTAACCTACGGAGCTTGAGGGGAGTTCTTCGGAACTGATGTCAAATATCTGCAACATCGAGGCTTGCACCTAAAGTTTTCCGAAAACCTACCGAGAGTAGTCAAGATACCCTTTCCTAGAGGCTCCAAATAGACTCCCATTATGGAATTAGGTCCCTAAAGCCATAACAAGCATGGTCTTTTGGGACCAAGTTCCATAATGGGAGTCTATTTGGAGCCTCTAGGTTTGAAAGGGACATGACATGCACCGATTCTACTACAATTTGGGCTCATGGCCTCCTTCTTCGAGCATGTCTTGTAGCAACTTTTGCAAGCCTTCCAGAACCCTAGGCTCCAAACCCCCCAAGCCCCAAACCCCTAAATCCGAAACTCTAAACCCCTAAACCCCTAAACCCGTAAACCCTAAACCCCTAAACCCCTAAACCCCTAACCCTAAAAACCGCTAACCCCTACACCCTGAACCCTATAAACCCCAAACGCTTCAAGGAGGCCTTTTGGCTGCTCTGGCCATCGGCATCGGAGGCGCCACCCCAGTCGGTGGCCCAGTTAATCATCTCGGTGGGAGCGGCGGCGTCCTTGACTTGCTGGCTTCTTGCAACAGACTCAATAAGTTTAATCGGAGTTACATAACAAGGAACCCATATTATTTGCAATAGATCCCTGTTCTGGAAACTTGAACTCGACTCCTTCACAAGAATTCAGCTTGCGAGGAATGTCCGGTGCCCCTGAGCTACTTCAGGGTCAAGGGTTTCAGCGCCAAGGAGTGTTTAGGGTTTCGGTCTTAGGGTGGCAGGGGTTTTGTGGTTTTGCAGCCTTCGGGCATTTTGGTTGGAATAGCTTGCGCCTCCCATCCCGTAGCGTGTTGCGTGTCGAAAGGGCCGCCAACATGACGCCTTAATTGGAATAGGGTTTCGGGACATGTCTTGCACAGCTAAGCTGAGCACCACCCAAAGATACTGCTAATGTAGGAACCTGATGAAAAAACCCTGGCCCTATACCAATAAACAGTGGATTCAAAACTAATACGAGCCCAACGTTTAATAACCGGGTTCCTATATTAGCATTATGAATCCCTATGCCCTAAGCCCTTATAAACCCCAGTCATGAAGGACCTATACTAATGATCCGTGTTCTGAAGCCAACCCCCCGTGTCGGTCCGCAGCATCAGCAACAGTGGACAGCGTGACGAAAATCAGGGCCATGATGCGCAACATCCTGCAGTGTACGTAGGGCTTGCCTTGACCTCCCAAAACCCACCTCTTTAAGGATTCATATAAAGAAACCATAATAAGGAACGGTGAAAAGGTAGGCTATTTGGGGTTAAGGTGGGGTTTACCTAGACTCAGATTGGCAATAACTTTTCTGGCTATGTCATTTATGTTGTCTTCTTACTGTAGGATCCTCCCCAGCATATAGGTTGACCAAAAGAAGGTACTAAAGGGTACTGCAGGGATTAGGTAGAGCTGTAAGTTTTTTAAGTAGTGTAAAAATAACAACCTACTCTCCAAAAGCTTAAGATGCCGATATAGCCAAATGGCTACAAGACGTCTGCTTTTGGGCCAGCTAGCGTTTCGTCACCCAGAAACCCACAACGGAAGACAAACTCGAAACCGAATCCCGAAACCCCAAAACTGTATGTATGTATGTATATATATATATATGTATATATATATATATACGTACATGTGTGT